CCATGATCACTAGGAGTGAATTCATGTACTACTTGCCGTCTACACTGTGTGCAGTTTTGCGTTGTTTGTTTTGGTGGATGTTGACGGCTATGAGGTACCGCATTTTGAACTTTTTAATACTCTCTCTATGGTCCGCGATAGTGCCAATGTCGGTGTGGGAGAGTTCACGGCCTACCCTCGAGGGAAGCACGATTATTGTCAGAGGCTCGGTGTAGTTACTTGGGGTGCGTTATCGTGGGCAGAGGTGTCCTTAGATACTATCCTTCTTCGCAGTGGTGATGATCATCTACCTTTACGTCGATACTCGGAGGTTTCGGATGCTGTCTAGGGAGGAGAAGCCTTTTAGAGGGGCTGGTAGGTGGTCAGAGAGGGGGAGGGGTAGTAGTAGGTGTGACCGGAGTTGCTTTAGCGCTCGCCCGAGCGGGTCCGGTGGGAGAAGCTACCCGTATGAATGCGGAGTTACGGCCTGTTGCTGTTGTGAAGGAGGATGTGTATGGGGAAGAGGAGGAAGCAGTGGTAGGGAAAAGGTGTGGTCTGTGGTGATCGAACCCGGGATCTTGGGCCCTAGGTGTTATCTACTCTCCCGAAGGTGCTGTGGTTTACCTCATCGTGTCCTCTTGATGCAGGTTTTGAAAACGAAGCTCACGAGGCTTGAAGACGAGTCCAACACGCAGTCACTGGCCGCTGAGACCTCTCCGAGTAAGGCGACGACTCTAGCGGTCCCAGTGGTGACCCAGACGCAGCGCCCGGTAATAGTATCTACGACGCCAGCACTGATCGAGTTCGAACTGGTGCCGGTCACAAATAGTGGTAGAGGGAAGGGCGGTGTTGAGGCTGGGTCTGATGATGTTAGACTTAAGACTGTTGTTAACAGTGAGGTGGGAGGAAGAGGGCAGGAAGCCGGTACTGGCGGTGGTGATGGTGACACGCTCGAGCCTAGTACAACGAAGGGCGGCGGGGGCGGCGTAGGGGAAGTGAGGGCTGAGGCAGAGGGGGATGTGAGCAGTAGTAATATTGGAATTGTTGTGGGGGCAACAACAACAAGAGCGGAAATGACGAGGACTGTAGGGCGGGCAGCCGGAATGGAGACGACCCCGACAACCTCTGGGACTAGCAAGGGGCAGCGGACTAGGGCTGAGGATATGGCAGAGATCGTTAAGCGGTTGGAGAAGCTGGAGGCTGAGGTGGCGTCCAAAACACAGACTAGAAGGTGACGGTAGAGGTGTATTTACCAACGTTGATGATACCTTTGAGTGTTGTTCGTATATTACGTAACGTGGTGGTGGACGGTGCAGTGTTAGTATGGTGGTCATGCTGGAGGGCAGTGGC